AAGCCGCTCATAGGATAGCGCTCGCTCTGAAACGACAAACCCGGAGGAGCGCTTGTGCGGCCGCGTAGGCGGCCGCTGTTCTGTAACCTTGACCACGACCCCCCCGCCCCGCCCACAGGCGAGCGGCGAGCGCGCCCGCTCCTGCGTCTCTATGATTCCAACTTCCGCCCGCGCGCCACTCCTCGCGAGACTTCGGCGGCCCAGCAATGGAGAGATCGTGAGTGCCGCAGACAGGAGTCCAGAGTACGGCCCGGTGCGAGATCGGGCCAGGGCAGCCCCGACAAGCCGGGCCCCTGGAGCAGAGCGGCGGTTGGGGCGCGACCCTTCCAGGCCCGGACGGACGCCCTTGCCTAAATTTCTGCCTGTCCCCCAGATGCCGCGTCACTGCTCCGCCGCCGGCTGCTGCACACGGGACACGCGCGAAACGCGCAACCGCGGCATCTCTTTCCACAGGTCAGCGCGCGTGCGTATCGGCACTCGATGGTTCGCGTGCGCATGCGCTGGGCTCGCGCTGCTCAGAGCGCCGCTTGTGCTTGCTCCCGCGCCTCCCTTAGATGGGGGCGAGGCTTGAACGCCCGGGTGGTGAGAGAGGGTGGAGGGGGCGGCGCCGCTGGGACCGAGGGCTGTGAGTAAGAAGGGGCGGGAGGTTTGGGCCCACTGCTCCCTAGCTGTCACCGCTAGATGACGCCGAGCCAGGGGCCGCCCTGCTCGAGGCCTGGGCGGCCGCCGCTCCCCGGCGCACTAAGCGGTGCTGGCCTTTCCTGTCCCAGGGCCTGGGCGGCATGAGCCCGCGCGGCGGGCGGCCCAGCGCTCAGGGCTTTGTGGTTCCGCAGACTTCCCAAGAAGGACAACCCGCGGCGAGGCGTGTGGCTAGCCAACTGCCAGCGGCTGGACCCCAGCGGCCAGGGCCTGTGGGACCCGGCCTCGGAGTACATCTATTTCTGCTCCAAGCACTTCGAGGAGAACTGCTTCGAGCTGGTGGGGATCAGGTGGGCCACCTCGCGGTCAGCGGGGGGAGAAGCGGGCCCGCGAGTCAGATGGCGGGGAGGGCCCAAGGGCTGTTACCCTTTCTAACAAATGGAGACAAGACCGCAGCGCCACGTGCGCAGAAGGAAAGCAGTAGCCCTTCCGGAGCTCCCCCTCCCCGCAATCCCCTACATAAAAGAACTGGTCTCCCCAGCCCTGCAGGGGAGTCTCTCACCGCGCTAACCCCAAGAGGAGGCCTGCCGGAAGTGAGACTCACTGGCTTTCCTGTTGCGTTCTGCTTCCCTGCCTCCCATAGCGCTGGTGCCCGGGGACCCTTCCCCGGGATGCTGGCGGGTGTGCGCCCCCGTGCCCAAGCCAGGTCCGCCTCGGGGGCAGCACCTGCTCTCAGCTCATCCGGACTGTTCTCCCACAGTGGGTATCACAGGCTGAAGGAAGGAGCTGTCCCCACGATATTTGAGTCTTTCTCCAAGTTGCGGCGGTCATCCAAGAGCAAAGGACGTGGTTACCCACCTCGCCCTCCCGAGGTCAGCGGGCTCCAGCGATGCAGGAAGCGGTATGTGGTATGGGTTGGGGGAGGCCTGCCTCCACCCCATTAGCACCCATCTTAAGGGACTGGGCTTTGGGATGTATGCCGGGGTCCTGAGAGCAGTGTTCCAGGCCCAGATGTGCATGTGTGGGGGCTCAGGTGGGCTAGTGAAGTGGGGTCTGGCGGGGCCTTAGTCCAACATCTCAGGCTGTTTTTCCCACAGCTGCTCTGAGGGTCTGGGCCCAACAACTCCTTTTACTCCACCACCACCTGCCGACGTCCCCTGTTTTCCTGTGGAAGAGGCCTCGGCACCTGCGGCTTTGCCGACCCCTCCAGCTGGAAGGCTGGAGCCCGGCCTCAGCAGCCCCTTCTCAGACCTCCTGGGACCCCTGGGCGCCCAGGCGGATGAAGCAGGCTGCAGCGCCCAGCCCTCCCCGGAGCGCGAGCCCGAACGGCAGCCCTCCCCTCTGGAGCCTCGGCCCGTGTCGCCCTCGGCCTACATGCTGCGCCTGCCGCCCCCCGCAGGGGCCTACATCCAGAACGAACACAGCTACCAGGTGGGCAGTGCCCTCCTCTGGAAGCGGCGGGCGGAGGCGGCCCTCGATGCCCTGGACAAGGCCCAGCGCCAGCTGCAGGCCTGCAAGCGCCGGGAGCAGCGGCTGCGGCTGCGCCTCACCAAGCTGCAGCAGGAGCGCGCTCGAGAGAAGCGGGCACAGGCCGACGCCCGCCAGACTCTGAAGGAGCACGTGCGGGACTTCGCCATGCAGTTGGGCAGCAGCTTGGCCTGAGGGATGGGCTCTGGGCCCCTGGGGGCCAGTGCCAGAACCCTCCTCCCTCCAGTTCCACCCAAGAGGGACCCGAACTGAGTTGCATCCACCAGCCTTGACCAGATGCCATAATAAAAGTGGACGCTAGGATGTAGCTTGCTGTCTGGCTCTGATGGGCTGGGGGCCCCACCTCGAGTCTCAAGCACGTTTCCCAAGGTAGTGGCTCCTGGGTGGCCCTCAGAGGTTCAGACACTGGTGATCTGGGCCACTGGGACTAGAACCCCAGGCTTCCGGCTGCTTGTCCTCAGGCCTGCACGAATGGACACGTAGCAGCCACGCCTGCTCAAGAGGTGGGGGCACCAGAGTGGGGCTCTGGCGCCTGCCCCATTCCCCACCCTATAGGAGTCTCTGAAGGCAGGGGTGGTGTAAGGGCCAGGGCAGCGCCAGGCACCCTGACTTGGGATCTGAAACAGCCTTGACTTAAATAAGCTGGCCCCTCTAGAAAAGCCCAGGAGGCCTGCTGGGCTCCACCCCTTTGCAGGGGTGCCATACCTTCTATCCCCTCATTCGTCAGGGTGGCCACTGTGTGGGCCTGGCCCAGTGCTCCATCCCGGCTTCCGGGCCAGACCCTGCTCCCCACTGGGGCCGCTTTCTGCCTGAGACAGAGGCCCAACTTGGGGGCTGCTGTGCAGATAGGAAGTGAGGCCACCATAGTGGCCTTTCCCATTCTTGGACAGCTAGGGGGAAGTGAGGGGAGGGGAGGCCGGCCTGCACTAGTCCTGGCCTCACTATACACTCGCCTTCAGTGGGAATCCAGAAGGTGCCATCGGTAGTGATGAACAGTCTAGGGTGTGGAGTGGCAGATGGCACATATGACATCTCCCATGCTGTCCTTGGCCACCAAAGAGCATAGTTCTAGTGCCATGGAAAATGGGCGCACTGCCCAACGGCCCCTGTGCCTTCTGGGGCTCCTGGCACGTAACCTTTATTCTCTCATCTCTAGGAGAGACACTAGGTGATCAGTAAGGGCAGGGTTTCTGCAGGCTTCTAGCAAGGGGTGAGGCAGCCCTGGGGCTGTGGCGAGCACTAACTTGTGGGGTCCTGGGTGGGGGGCTTGGTGGCCCCACTGTGAATGACACACTGGCCTGCCTGCTGTGGACCCCTCCCCACCCACGTGCAGCCCTGTGCCAGTTCCTTGCCACGGGTCTCCCCTCAGCACACAGCTGCTGACCCCCTGAGTCCCCCAGCCCTTCTTCCTGGACCAGGCCATGTCCTAGCTCCTAGCTCCTAGTGGCCACTCAGCACAGGAGTCCTGGCTGCACAGGGCTGTCTGGGTTCTCTTCATCGAGGGCTGATGGGCTAGAGGGGAGGACCCCCAGAGCAGGAGGCAAGCTCCAAGCCAGAAAACCATCCCCTGTGGGGAATCTGACTTCTGGTGGCCCAGGTGGAAAGGGTCCCCGAGGGGGTTCTTCCCAGATATGGTGCAGAAAGAACCAGCCCACAAAGGTGCACAAGCAGGCCCTCCTTAGGGGATGGGTGGGTGTGCAGGCCTGTTACCAACTTCCCAACCAGGCAGGGATCAGCCTGCTCTTCCCGGGAGCCAGTGGCACTGGTGCAGGACCAAGGCAGCTCGGGGCCTGGAGGGTCCCCTGGGAGGCATGTCAGGCTAGAGTCCTCCCGTAGCAACCCCCCCACATATCTGGGTAACCCAGAAGGGGGAGGCTAATAGGCCAGTCCCACTCTGGGAAGGGCCAGGGAGCTGCAGGGCAGGCCCAGATGTGACCATTAGCCAAGTCATGGTAATGCAGTGTGGCTTTAACGCGACACGACTGTGACAGTAAATGCCGGGGAGGGGTGCACAGTGGGCCCTGCAGGCTGAACCAGGCCCAGATCACCTACAGTTTGCTCCTGAGTCTCACCTGCCCACCCATTGCTGGTCCCCACTCACAGACAGCTGGGGGAACCAGAGCATTGGAAGCAGGGCACAGACCTCCTGGGGCTACAGCCTTCTGACAAGCCCCACCCCCACCCCGGCACTGTCAGTGGCTGCAGAACCAACAGCTGGCGACTCGGGTTCCTGCTGGGAGGCTGGGGCACCCCTCTCTGCTGCCTCCTGCATGTCCCCATCACTGAGCCTTACACTTTGAGCGTCTTACCACAGGGTTGTTTGAATTCATTGGGTTACTGTCATGGCTTGGTTAGGAGATTACCAGTATGGTGATATGTTACATTGATGGTTACTGTCAAACACAGAACCAGCTAAGGGAGATTTGAAAACTGGTGGCCCACATGACCAGCAGAGCCTGGTTAATAAATCCAGTGGAAGTCCAGGGCCTTGCCCAATGGGTGAAATTCTTGGGAATAACTGTGACATTCCACAGACAACCAAGGAAGTGGGATGCCCCACATTTAATTGGTCTATTTGGATTTTGGAGAACACACATTCCACATCTGGAAATATTGCTGGCTGCCATCCATAAAACCACTTGGAAGGAAACTGCATTTGAATGGGGGCTGGAGCAACAGCAGGCTATGTCTGAAATACAGAAAGTGGTCTCGCTCTCCTTGCCTTCAGGGCCTTACGATCCACATTCAGACTTGATTTTGGAGATGTTTGCCTGCGTGAAAGAGGCCTTCAAACACGCCAAAGTGGCTCCTGGACTCCATATTGGAAGCAAATTCCATCTGAGAAAGTAAACACGTAGTCATTCCCACCCCCTCGCAGGCTACATTCCTTAGTTAATTAACTGATTGTCTTACTGTCAATAAGTCTTACTGTCTTCTTGTTACTGCCGTGGAGTCTTCTCCAGCTCATAGTGACCCCTCCTTGGGTTTCTGAGGCAGTATCACTACAGAAGTAGATTGCCCAACCTTCCTTCCAAGGAGTGGCTGTTGGGCTTGAAATATCTCCTGTCTGACCACCAGCCTCAGGGCATTGTTACCGCCGCTGGCTACTTGGAACCAGGTGCCTCAGTGTCTGACAGCTCCCCCAGTGAAGGCCCGCATTGGTGGTTCACCTTACGGTATATGAACCAGAGGGAAACAGGAGGGGGGTGGGGACTTGAACCTGACCAGCCGGCTGGCTGCTGCTGGGTACAGTCCTGCTTCTTTAGAAGGTCCACCTCCTGAACAAACTTGGATGGCTCTGAGTGACTCCAGGTCAGTGTTTCGGTCTCTGCACAAACTTATCTGGAAGCTTTTGCTTCACTGGGGAAGAACCCCAACGTTTGGTGCTGTGAGCGGGATACCAAAAGACCCCTGATCACTCAAGAGTTGGGTGAGGCATGCAACTCCATGGGGGCAAACCCGGGATGGCCAGATGCCTCCCTATTTGGGCCCCTAGCTAGGTTGTTGGATATCTGGACACCTGCGTGTGAGTATGGGGACACCTCGAAAACACCACAAGCTTGTTAGAGCTCTCACGGGGCACGGGAGTTGAAAAGCACAAGCAAGAGAGCAGGGTGCTGGCAGCTGCTGCAGGCCGACTGTGCCTGCGTGTGGTGCGTGCGCAGCGACGCAAGCCGAGCTAACTGCTGGTGCAAAAGGGCGCTGGCTGCAGGGCGACCTCCGGCTGGAAAGAGAAGCCCTGGGAGCCCAGACGAACGCCACCGAAACCGTGGCTTCCTGGCTACAAACTTCCCATCGGGCACAGAAACACTTGCCTGCAGACTAGCCCAAGCGAAAGTGTGAAGGCTTCCATAACAGCAGCTCCATGATGTCACTGCAAAAGCTAGTTGGGAACCAAAGAAATGGGACCTGTTGGAGTCTTCGGACTCAGGAGAGGACATAGAGGACGATTCATACTCTCCCAACTCACTGCCACTGAGTCAATCTGACTCATAGCAACCCCTCCTTGGGTTTCTGAGGCAGTATCTCTATGGAAGTAGATTGCCCAGTCTCTCTTCTGAGGAGTGGCTGGTGGCTTTGAACTGCCAGCCCTCTGGTTAGCAGTCACATGCCTTAGGCACTGTGCCACCAGAGCTCCCTGAGGAAGATTGGGATGAGGAATGTCGGCCTTTGGTTATCACTAAATTAAAAACCAGTCAGCCCTGTGCCCCGGGGTGGATGCCAACAGTCTCCAGGGGAGTGACAAGAATCCACTACTATGAGGGACTACACCACCACGGACATAGTGGAATTGGCTACCTGCTGTGTCCAAAAGGGCCAAGAATCTATCGTGGCTTGGGTGCTGAGACAGTGTGATATGGGGACTGATGGAGTAATCTTAACTGAGTTAGAAATGTCTAAAGTGGTGTCAGTCACCACTCACCTGGCACTGTGACAATGGCCATCAACTGCACTTGAAGGCCAGAGTCCCTCTGTTGAGTGGATAATGGCTGCCTGTCGTGCCACATGGTCCAGTGGAGGGGACCTACTGTTACCTCCCTTCATTAGACCACTGCAGAACTGCAGGGAATTGTCAGGGAACTGGGCGTGAAGCGTGCCTTTATGTGCAGCATTTGAAGTCTACGCAATGAGCTCTCCACGCCAGGATGAAGGATGCTATATGGCAGTCTGGTCCCATCCAATGGCATGGCTTCTTAGTCTCTATCTTAAGCCCCATGGTGGGACGAGAGGTATCCCATGCCACTCAGAGGGCTGTGGACTTGAGCAAGACAATGTGTAGGACACTGTGAGAGCCACGGGCAAGCCTCAGGAGCAGATGAAAGGGAAAGAAAAGGGTCCATTGGAAGGCTACCCATGGCCAATTATGGGCCAATCTCATCGCAGATGGGACGCCTAAAGAGAAATTTATAACAGCCCAATGCTGCCCTCTTGTGGCTTTGGCAGCATCTGAAGCCTGAACGACAGTTCACCGCAGATAAAGAGGCAACCCTCCATAAACCAGCTCAATCCACTGCTCTACCTGCCTGGGAGCCCTCCACCCCCTAAACTAGGGGCGAGGCCAAAAGCCACCAACGTTGCAGGTGCGAAGATTGAAGGTTACTGGGGGATTGGAGGCCCCATGTAGAAGTCACCATTTATTGGTCCTCATATAACAAACTGTTTTAGCTTTAGTA